TAAATTTTATATTTTAAATTATGCAAATAACCCCATAAGTTAAAATTTTTGAAAGAAATAATACATAAAAATTGTGCGAAAATAATGTTTTATATAAAGTTTGAGGTATTTAAATTGCATATGCAAGTTTGGGGTGTTTAGCTCACACGCCTTCAAAATTTCGGATATTTTTATTATGTTTCCCTAAAAAAATATAGAGAAAAATGTGACTATAAGTTACTATGAGTAAGTAACTAAGTTACTAGAGTGACATCGTTATCCACGGCTTTAATTTTTGTTATATATTTAGAATTATTTTTTGAAATAATAGTTCAACGAGGGTTGTAAAATAATAAATATATTTGAAAATTACTTTGATAGTAAACCATCAATATTGAAGACAATGCAAGTAAAAATAGATGTTTATACTATGTATTTTGGTTTTACTCGCAACTTGCATGGGTGAAGCCACTTAATCTACAACCCGTGCAAGTTGACCCACGAAACTGGTAAGTTCATTGGGTTAAAGAATGACAACTCGAATCGACCGTGAAAAGAGACGAAATGGACTAGCCCTGTGGACTTCGACTCATTTCGACAGTTCTATCCATACTCGACTTGATTTTCTTTTAAACTCTGATTGACGATTCACATACATTTTTTTTAAACACATATTTTGTCGCGCAGTGCACGGATACACATACTAGTAAAATACTCTGTAATGCTTTGGACTTTTGGAGTATAAAACGGCAAGAATGCAAATGAAGTGTTTAATTGCTAGTGAGGAGCTAGTGAGCTGCCGTTTGATCTTTCTTATACATTGTGATCAAACCTCAATATGCTCGTATCGATTGAATATATCTATGGAAGTAATTTGGTATGTTTTGACAAATCCGGTGTTACTAAAAAACGTTATAAAAATGACTTAATTGATAAATAACCAACTTTTGTATCATACCTTCAATTTTATATGTAGTAAAATGTAGTGTACTTTTCAAAGTGAACTTGTACTCTTAACATCCTCGATTCATATTTGCCCTTAATGGTGACCCTAATGCTTTTCAAAGAAATAAAAGTTCAATGTTAGGTATTTGGTGTTGTTAGAGTTAATTCAATAGAGACATTTTTGGACAAAAAATGTCAATTTCAGTCTTTCAGGAAACTTAAAAGCCTTTTGGGCTAAATCAAGCGGAATGGAGCAACTCTATGATTTATATGAATATGTAGTTTGATAGAATATAACCTCTAAAGAGAAGTGAGAGTTAGAGAGAGAAGTGCAATGTTGGAATAAATATATTTGTGAACCACCTACAACTACTCCCAAGGAGAGTATTTATAGAGAAAATGTGGGTTGGGCTCCCAAGTCTTGGGTTTGGGAGGCCCGATTAAAACGACACCTCTATTGGACTGAATACAAAGTATGTAAATTGGCTAAGTATGAAATCCGGCTCTGTGAGCTCTCTGTGGCCGACAGAGGTCTGGCCGACGGAGACACCCGATTCTCCTGACTTCTGGATCATATTCTGAGTTGACGTCTTCTTGGTCGATGGAGGGCCATCTGGCCAACGGAGGATCCGTTGGGTGACAGTTGTGCCTCTTATTCTTCTGAGTATGTGAATCATGAGGTCTGGACCCATATACACTCCATCATAGTTATTACATGTAAATATGTAATGTAATAAACGTCCAACATTTAGAGCCTGATTAGTCGTGTTTATTGTCACCAAAATTGTTGAATCTGTGAATAGTTCTAAAAGAGAAAGCATTGTAGGATTTGTAGCATGAGTGCATGACACTTGGAGACTGATTAGTCGTGTTAATATTCACCAAAATTGCTGAATATGTGAACACTTCTCAGAGAGAAATATGTTACTCCCTCCGTCCTATAATTTACTTCCGTAGTACAAATGACACACAGATTAAGAAAGTGAGTTTTGTGTGGTGGAGAGTTGTGCAGAGGAGAGAGAAATGTGTAAGAATTGCTGTGAACCACAAATTCTTTGCCAAAAGGGGAAAGAGAAGTTCTTTTTGGCATGGACGAAAAGGGAAAGTTGGAAGTATTTTCAGGGACGGAGGGAGTAGATACTTAGAGGCCGTTTGGTAGCACTGTTTTTTGGCTTATCAAACTTATCAGCCAACTTTTTCACCAAATATGTAATTTTTGCTTTCGCGCGCTGAATTATGTAATAAGCAGAAAAAATAAGGTTGGAGTTAGGGATGGACTCGGGCCGGGCCAACCAGCCCGGAACCGGACCGGCCCGCTACTGTGCGGGCCCGGACCGGCCCGGTGAACCGGTCGGTGCCCGGTTCGGGCCACCCGGCCCGGTCTTCTAGCGGTTCGGTCCCGGGCCTGCATTTTAGTGAACCGGCCCGGCCGGTCCGGGCCCGGTCCGGGCCGCAACGGTCACATTTTTTTTTAAAAAAAAATTAAATACTAGAAGGCTCCATTGCCGTTGGGAGAGCTCCCAAACGGCTCTATAGCCGTTGGGAGCATAGGAGGGGGGTCTGGGGGGTTAGGGGGGTGGGGTGGGGTATACAAAAAAAACTATTTATACTCCTATTTTCTATACATTTTTACACCTCTTCTTCTACAACTCTTCCTACTCTCTAAATTCTCTATTCTCTCAATCTCTCATATTCAATCATCTTCATTCTTCATCTTTTCCAAATTCTTTCTACATATATATAATTTATATAATTATTATATCTACTTATATATTAATTATCTACTTATAAATATATACTTATACACATTCATATTATAATTCTTTACACATTATATTATATATACTATATATAGTTATACATTATATTATATATTACTTGTAATATATTTACACATTATATATACTATATATACTTATACTCATTGATATAGACTTATACACATTCATACATTTTATAAAAGTAGTTAATTGTTAGACTTCTCGTTTATCTATTAAATTATTTAATTGTTTCATGTGTCATATTAATATTAGTTAAAGTAGTTAATTGTTTCATTTGTCATATTAATATTAGTTAAAGTAGTTAATTGTTTCATTTGTCATATTAATATTAGTTAAAGTAGTTAAAGTTAATTGTTTCATTTGTCATATTAATATTAGTTAAACTACTTAATTGTTACATTTCTCATATTAATATTAGTTAATTGCTACATTGCTCATTAAAGTTAAAAAAAGTAGTTAATTTTTACATTTCTCATATTAGTTAATTGCTACATTTCTCATTAAAGTAAAAAAAGTAGTTAAATTTTACATTTCTCATATTAGTTAATTGCTACATTTCTTATTAAAGTAAAAAAAGTAGTTAATTTTTACATAGACGTGTCAATTATTGTGTTTTTCCTAAAGATTTGTCTATTCGTTGGAATAGTACTTATAATTTAATTCAAGTACTTATTAGATATAAAGATCATTTTCCAGCTTTTTTAAGACAAACTTGTAACTATATTATAAACCCGGCTGACATCGACACTTGTGAAAAAATTGTTAATGTTTTGGCATATTTTAATAACGCAACTCAAACTTTTAGTCATGTTTATAAACCTACCCGCAAACGAATTTTTTGTTGAAGCTGTTAATCTCGCCGGCGCTTTTTGTGAATTTTCCGAAGCCAGTTACGTTAGTTATTTTTGTGATTTCATGAAACAAAAGTTTTTAAAATATTATTCACATATTCCGCATATATATGGTATTGCATTTGTTCTTGATCCTCGTTATAAACTTGCTTACTTGGCAAATTGTATAGATTACTATTATGCTTCTTTTTTCCAACTCAAGAGTTCGATGATAATCCCATCGACCCTAAACAAGAATTCAACGAGGTTAGTAATTTATTTTGTATAATGAATTTCATGCACAATATGGTAATGCACCCCTCCCATGCAACGAACATCTTCTTCATCTAAAGGAAAATCACTTTTAAAATCCGCTTTTGGTTCTCTTTTGAAAAAAAGTAGAGCAACTCCCACTACTGAACAAAGCTCTGGTAACGAGCTTTCTTTGTATCTAACATTGAATGTTGATTATGAAGTTGGTGATGACTTTGACGTTCTTAAGTGGTGGAAGGAAAATGAAAGAACGTTCCCGATATTATCAAAGATGGCTAAGCAAGTGCTAGCAATGCCGATATCAACCGTTGCCGTGGAACAAGAATTTAGTGCGGCCGACAACGTCCTAACCGATTGTAGAACGAGGTTGAGCCCGAGCTCTCTTGAGACACTAGTTTGCTTTCACGATTGGTTGAAGGCCCAACGAAGAACTCAAGAAATTACCATCGCTCCCACCCGCCACTTTATGGAGGAAACAACCGAAGGCGGAGATTCCGATTGATTTTTTATTACAAAATGTATTACATTTTTTAAATTCATCCTAATTCTCAATTGTACTCCTTATTTGAAATAAATATACTTGAATTAGAATATAATATATTGTAATTGTAATCAAAATTATTCTAATAATATAATATATAATAATAATAATAAATTAAAAGGCCCGACCGGTGAACCGGGCGGGTGACCCGAACCGAACCAGACCCGGGGTTATCCGGACCAGTTCCGGGCCTGCCTTCCGTGAACCGAGGCCCGAACGATTCAAGGCCCGAACCGGGCCCAGCCCAAACCGAGTCCACCACTAGTTAGAGTTACTTTTCCGGCTGTATTGACTGAAGTTACTGTAGATGGTCATTTTAGCTATTTTAACATATAAGTTTTTCTTTACTATATAAATAAAAAATATTTTAAAAAAATTTTTTCTTAAATCACCAGAATCAGCCAATGCAATCATTTCGGACAGAACTTCATAAATTTCAGCAGAATCAGCCAAATCTGTTATACCATTAAGCAGCATAAACCAATTAATGCATCCAAACGAAGCCTAACACTGTAAACCAGCTTCACACGAAGTAAAACAAGCCCATCAATGATCCACTCGGGTGGGAATTGGGAAAGGCTTGCTCACATAATACAAGGAAGGCACTTGACTTGCGACTTAAGAGGCAACAATATTAATGTAAAGTCCATTCTTTGAGTAGAGAACAATAGTACAAAGAATCTACATATCTAAAAATACAGACAACATCACAACATGGTAATGCTTCTTGCAATCTTGCCAGTACAAAATAGAAGGACAAGAACAATAAAGGGGGCCTTTGAATTACTAAAAAAAACAGAAACATAACAAACCAAAAAACTGAAAAAACATGAACATATATTATAAGTTTGTGTGGTCAGGTGGCATCTGTTGTGTGAAACAGGCTACACCGCCACCACTGTATCATTCATTTACATGAGAAATGAAGGCATTAAATAAGCGATCCTTCACATGGTGCTCCCATGGGACGACAAATGAGCCAGGCAGGCCGCCAAGTACAAATGAGTTTGAACGTGTATGCCAAAGCGAAGACAAAACGGGTGTGTGGGGACTTCACTTTGTTTTCCTATCAATAGTCGCAGGGCTTGAGGATGACTCATCTCCGTTTTCAGAGGTGACCTCGGACGAACCTGTTGATGACAAATCACCATGGTCAATGCCCGAACTCCTCGAGCTCTTTGATGAAAGGGTTGGATGATGATTGTGTTGAGAATTACCATTTGTTTGACTTTGTCCTTCCGCTAGTTTTTTGAGAAGATCATCACGGTAGGAAGGAACTTGCTTGAGAACGATATAAGTCCAGGAAGCTGTAGAAAGTTCAAATCACAGGTAATAAATTAAATAAGTAAACAAAAAAATCACTTCTTAAGAGCGGCAAATCAGTGAAAATGTGAAATCACTAACAAAATTATGTGCAAATGAATCAAGTAATTGTTAACTTACGGTGCCATTGCGAAATTCACCAGAGATGTCTAGTTGCACCCAAAGTGCTTTAAATAGCAGATAAGCAACAAAAATGACACCCAAATACAATGGATTCCTGTAACAAGAAAAACAAGATGCTATTCATGTCAAGAACGGTGACAAAAACTGAAATAAAGAATTCAGGATAGAGGAAAAAAGCACCTCAAGAGGGTCATAAACTCATTGAATCCCAAAACAACCATGGCAACAATAGCCCATGGAGGTGGTAACCAGTTGTTGCTTCTCTTGCTAGCCTCCTAAATATTAAAAAAAAAACAAGTAATGAGATAAATCTTGAAAAAAATCCAAGTGATGAAATAAACAAAAGCAAAGGTATTTGCATTTAAGAAATTTAAAGATCATGCCTGTGCGGCAATAGCTTGGGTGACAGTGTACTCTGTCTCAGTTGTAAATTGTCTCCACAGAGATTTACATTGGACCAGCGTTATTAAGGTTTTTGATTGAGGAACCTGTGGAGGTTAGAATAAACTTAGAGTCAAAGACTATGATGGGGTGAAAACAAGTAAAAATTATGGAATTGAAATCCTTTGAATCACTTTTTCTGTACCACTCCATTTTGACTACTTGAAATCATGTTAACCTTTTTATTATAATCCCTCCGTCCATTGGACTTTGCCAACTTACCTTTTTTGTTTGTCCCAAGCATTTCGACACTTTCTCTTTATAATAAATCATTTGTCATTCTGCTTTTTTTCTCTCCTCTGCACAACTCTCAATCACAATTTTTACTTTTCTTTTTTACACCTAACCCAAACTTGGCAATGTCCAATGGGGACAGAAATGAGTGGTGCACATGGGTACAAGAAATGTGGTACACAAGAGTTGAACTCACTTAAAAGTCAAAACTATGAGAAGTACAACGGTGCAGCCAATCAATCAAGATGCAAATAGTAGAAAGGCTTTAACATATAAGAACACATTGTTCAAATTTAATGTTTTTCTGTGCCATATAATTTACCTAATCCCAAGAGTTTGATGCAAGAGGATCACTTGGAGTGACACTTTTGTTTGCAGCACTGCCTGATTTGCCATCAATTAAAGCAAGGGCAAGAGTGTTTCCAATATTGTCTGATTCTTCATCCAAACGGATAGCAGCCATAACTGAGAGAAGCTTGAGAGACTGAAGAAAAAAAATATTATTATAGGTGCACCTTTAAAATGGGTGGTCAGACAACACAATATCCAATTAGTCAGATGGTCATACAGATGAACGGGCATTTTTGGTAATTGCTCGAATGTCTTCCTTTCCTGTCCAAATTCTGGGCATTGAATCAGAATCATGGCTAAATAATGTTGTAAACCTGCCACCAATTTTGGAACACTGCTATCAATATTCAAAAAACACATTTAACATTCTAGGAAGCATCGAGAGAAGGACTGCCACAAACATTTTAAATACCTGTCTTTCATACGGATCAAAACCCTCCCAGCTTCTTCTTTGGTCTTTGTTTCTACGATTCCTCTTGCATGATCCCTCAACTTCGAAAGCATATTACCTTTGGTTTCAACATCCAACTCATATCTAGAAAGCTCTGCAGAAAAATCAGATACTGCAGCTTCAGTCTCACGCCTTAGGAGTTCTCGAATCATTGGCCATGTATCATCTCTAGCTCCATCTAATGCCTCAACAGGTCCTGATAATGCCCCGTTAAGTTTTGTCTGCACAAGAACTCTCAAAAGATAAATTAATTAAGTACATAAAACCTAAACTCATAACAACACTGGAGTTTCATATCTAATCTTAAACCCAATCAATAGCTAATCAAACTTTATTTATCACTATATATTAACAAATTACTGCTACCAAAACTTAAAATCTAGCACCGTCAGCCAGTGATTAAAGGCTCACAGGTTCAATACCACCCCTCCCCAAATATTACACTTGGGCTATACACTTGCATGTTATCAATACCTCATAGGATGCTGTAAGTTTAGCCAGCCTAGCAGCACGGACTTCATCAATATGTGTATCTATATCACGTCTGAGCTTGTCCCTCACTTTGGATGAGTCCCAATTAGCTTGAGCAATGACAGCATCTACATTAAGTATCCATGCTTATTTTAGATGGCTAGGCGCTAAATCTTCAAACTTATAATAAATTCAGTTATTATTGATACTAAAGGAAAACTACAGCTTCATATATTTCCAAGACAGAATAAGTGAACAGCAACCCAAATGTAAATACAAGTCTTGATTCTTGAATGGGCATAAAGTGAACAGATTTTTCCATAATTTTAATCCTCTCCTTACCATGTTACTTAAAGACTGGGACATTGGATAGGAGACCTAAAAGGCCATGCTTATTGTTGAATTACTTGTGCCTTAAAATAAATTCTTTATGTAAAACAGGTTTATACCATTCAACCAAAAGCTAAAAGACCATTGAAGAGACTGAAGTCCTCCAACTATTCTTCTGATGAAAAGACAGTAATTTGTTTGTTTCCAGATATTGTGATGATGTTTTTGTGCAAAGGATAATGTTAAACTCTACATTGCTTACCAGCACATCCTTTATCAAACTTGGCCATTAATGCCTCAGTGCAGCTTTGAGCAGCCAAAGCAAAGCTGTTCCCTCCATTCAATGCATCATCAAAATCTTTTTTGAATGCTTCAAAAGTTTTAGAACGCAAGAGTCCCAGCATAGATTGGTAGGCTGGTAAGGTAAGCTACAATATTAGGAAACAATAGGTCCATACAGATCAGATGTTCATAACAGAAAAATAACTATGAAAACAACAAACTTCCATTCCAACCTTCCTGAAACAGCAACAGCTAAGTCAATTTCCATTTACGCATTAATAGATTTTCCAGTACTCTTCTAAAAACAAATAACTTTTGGGAATAGTTGATTTCCCAGTAAAAGGCATAGCTTGAAAATGACAACACATATGAGCCTAGCATGTAAAAGACAGTTGAGACTCCTGTACAGCTAAACTGGATTACAGTTGGAGATTTTAAGATTTCTTGAAAAATGAGGGAAATGCCCAAAGTTTAGACTTTTGATGATCACATAGTGTCCATTTGAAGGCCCTACATTTCCGCTTACCGAGCCAATTTTTGTACTAGACACTAACTTAGTTGGTTACAATTGGTTGGTAATATAAGTTGCTGAAATTGATTAAAATTGACATTTTTTTCTTACAATTTCATTTAATATTTTATTTTATTATGAAAGTACTACGTATGTTTTAATTTTTTTTCTCAATAATTCAGCAGCCTATTTTCCCCCAGCCTTGTCCATATAGGGACGGACCCAGATCCCTAACTGGACCAGACCAGGACAAGGCAGTTTTTCCCCCCAGACCGATCTTTTCCAAGAGACTGGACCTGAACCGGACCAGGCCAGGAAAGGCCAGTTCCAACGGTTCCTCCAGAAAAGAAACGGCCCGTGCTGGTTTTAAAAAAGGGCAAAGAATCCAAAACCAGACCATATATACCCGGTTAAGGTTCCGGTCCCCCCTTTAAGTGACCCAATTCCAGCTAGTCTAAAACTGGGACGGGTCCACCCTTATCTGTTTATCACCCTTACCAAATGTGCTCGTAATCGCATAAGAATTATAGAGGATAAATGTCCCTTCTTCCCCAGTTGGTTGTAGAGCAGCATGAGGAAACTAAAAAAATCTTAAGTGGAACACTCTAGTCTCTATAACTACATTACCTGCAGCAACTTCTCTTCCAACTGCTTGCGCTTCGCTAATCTCACACCTTCATCAAAAAATGTGACCTCATCCTCATACCTGAAAGTGCAAAAAATGTTAAAGCCGTTATCAATATGTGCTAAAAATTTATACAAGTTTTTGTAGTAGAATGCAACAGAAACAAAACATGTGAAGCAGGGGACACAAAAACGTGGTGGCATAAGCAAGTTCTATTCATGGTGTGACCCAATCACCCAAAACTTATTTGAGGAGATCACTGGTAAGCTGGTGTTCTTCTTTTCCTATTTGGTGAAGTTTAGTGCAGGCTCACATGACTAAATAAGTTGTCCACTAGCGGAACAATTCTAATCCATTGCATCTCATATTTATTTAGTATGGAAAAATGGCCTAGAACGATCAAGCAAATAGAATTTATGAAAAATCACTTCCAAGAAAGGCTACTGAAGATAAGTCCCAGAACACATTTACACACGCATTATCTGCTTTATGGAAAAAGTATATGTGCTTACTCTTCGAGACATTTAAATTGAAGTCTACAGAGCCAATGCACCCAACAAAATTGGCAATAAGACTACTGAAGATAAGTCCCAGAACACATTTACACACATTATCTGCTTTATGGAAAAAGTATATGTGCTTACTCTTTAAGACAAGTCTGCAGCACTGAGCTGATCTTCTTCCCAAACTCGCGCACAGTGTGAGACTTAACTGTTTCATTAAGTTGGCACCATTCCTACAAGTATAATTATCGTTGAGTAAAAGATGAATACTTTTCATTTGCAATTTCTTCACATCGTACAGTTGCTACCATAACCTGTAGTCAGCACATAAACATGTGCATCAGAAAAAATAGGTAGAACAATGTTAGCCCTGAAAACAAAGTAGATTAGCATGTAAAGACCTTGTGAGCAGGCAGGTCAAGGTCTTTATTCTCTTTTATCGTATTCCATATATGATGTGCACTAAATAAAAAGCTAGAAGCTGGAACAACTCCCCGCCTATCTCAAGCAACCCCACCAGGTGCAATAGAGTGAAAGAATCGTTGTCTTAGATCAGCCACCTTCACAACAAGAAGTTTTTCAGAAAGAAATAACACAGCAGTGAGAATGGATGCACTAATAGTAACAACTTCAATTATCATATGGTCACAAACACATGGAAATATGAAGAACTAAAAATTCAAAATGGATGACAAATGTATTTCAATGAACCGAAATATGCATATTACCTGCGCTTTGAAATGTTCTTCTTTCTCCTCATAACTAGAAAGGGCAACAACCTCGACCAGCCATTATTTATTGTTACGTTGTGGGAAATTAATGATGCAAATATTTTTCTTAACTTTTGAAAATTGTGAGAAAGCGTTTCTGTTGAAAACTCCAAGTGGATTCACCAAAACTCCAAAAGTTAAGAAAAATATAGAAACAACATGCAAAGCTTACTCACAATTTTCAACAGAAGCGCTTGAAAACAGTTTGCTTATTACCTGGAAAACAGTTTTCAGCAGAGGCTTATTAGCAGCTTGTTCACGACCAATATCATGACACCACCTGAAAATTTGCAATCTTACTTTCTTAGTTATTTAGATAAATACCTTATAGAAAACGGTGGTATCATACTACATAGTATTGTCTGATAAAAGTATTTGTTATGCAAAAGACAAACTTACATATTTATTAGAACTATATCAGAAACAGCAAGGGCACATAAGGCACTCTGCTTCTCAAATGCCGTGTCATCCTACCAAAAAAATTACAAGCAAAATTAAAATGAAACAAACTATACCTCTCACCATTCCAAAAAGACAGTCGGCTGAAGGAATTTGAAAGCATCACCATATTACCATATAGCCAGTAGATCTAGTTTTAATCAGTGTGAATACCTACAGCTAATTGAGTTCTGTTCATACTAAACCAAAAGGCTATTATTTCATTTACTATATAGTGATATGTGGGTTAAGCAATGCTTGTAAATTTTGGAGAATTATATAAGAAAGCAATACCACATAGTAAACTCAACTTAATCAAAGAAAACATGAGTGCAGAAAAATTGCAAGGGTGTAGCTCAAAGTATAAATAAGTTCAATGAATGCCTAGATATTGGATATCCAGCACAGTTTTTTAACTAAAAAAATCAATATGAGAATCACATTGAAAACTCCTCATATGTATTAGCAAGAACATCATGTACAAGGGTAAATATGAGAAGCAAAAACAGAAGAAAACAAAATTATATAAGCCATACCTCTCCTCTCTCTCTTCCGTCGGTGCCCTCCAAATCCATTACAAGGGTGAAGGGTTCAATTCCGGCACATTTAGCCATCCAAATACCTTTTGTGGTTTGTGATCTAAAAAAATCAATTTTAGTTATTTGTACTGAAAAAGTAAATAAGAAAAAGGTAAAGTGTGCATGAATACATGCTTCCTTTATAAGCATCCATCTCTCTGAAGTTTGTATGAAATAGATTATTTAACAGTGTGCTCTTTCCTGCCAAATTCAGAATACCAAACCAATCAAAATATTTTAAGAATAGAGGATAGCATACACCAGAAATATATTGGCACATGCTTGACACAGTTATTAGTGCCACTAAACTGTACGTCTGTACTGATGCAAAAAATGACTCTGTCAGAGGATCCGAAAAGAGGCAAGTTAACTATTAAACTCTTTTGTTAATGCATGTGAACAATGTGAAAGTATTTTCTAGCCTTTGTGAACTAGGTGAAAATTTGAGTACAATGACGACCACTTAAAATTCTTCTACGATGAAAAGAAAGACATACCACTACTTTGTGGGCCCATAATTGAAACAACAGCATATGAAAGCCCACAGTCTGCCAGTTTAACATTCTTAATGAACTTGTCAAGTCCTTCAACATTGAAATTACCATCCCCGTCAATGAGGTGAGTCGAACAACACTTATCATCAATAGATTCTGCAATAGAAGGAATAACTTTAGAAAACGCACTAATAGCGGGACAGAATAGATATGAGTTCTCATTCTCAACAAAAAGAAAGTGAAAACAAGGTGTGTGCATCTCACAGGACCACCAAAACATAATGTAGTCAAGCGTCCAAAAAGGTATCAGGTTCACAAAACGAATGTATTTCTCCTTCAGTTTGATATGTACACAAACCTCATCCAAATCAAATCCATCATTTGTGGCAAAAACTTTGCATTTTCAAGTTTTCTGCTCCATCCATGCTTCCTTTTATTTTACGGATGGACAAGGTTAAGCAAGAAATGTAAAGAAAATACATCATTGTAACAAATTATATCCTCACATCAATGGTTTGACAAGGTGCTTAAGGGCACATTTTAAGGTGCGCCTCACACTGAGGCATTCAAAATAGGTACTAAGGCTTACACCCCTAATGCAAGTAAGAGGCTTACGCCCCAGACAGTTAAGGTATACGACATGAGGTGCTCATGGCATTTTCTAAGGCAGGTTTTTTTGTAGTTTATCAGTTTTTAGTCCTAAGGAATAAATTATCCAGAAGCCCTAAAACCTATTTGTGGAACACTGGGACTGTTATAGGCCCTGGTTTGGAATCGTGTGACAGGAGGGGTTGAGAGAGGCAGATCAGTAGTTTCAGAAGAAGAACAATGCATATATCTAAGAGTGCAGCAGGAGATGTTGTTGAGTTCTCCAAACTAATTGGGCAATTTTCTGAAAGCCTTTTTATTCAAATCATCCTTCTCTTAAATAGAGATAGGAAGTTACAACCACTCCTAAAAACTAGGAAAGTGGATCCATGATCTTAAACTGCTAGTATGTGCATGAAGCACTTGTTTTAAATAACCAACAACTAACCCATGATTAAAAAACTAACACACACGAATTAAAACAACAACACTAATTATTTTAACTATCACACACGAATTAAAACAGCAGTACTAATTATTTTAATTATTTGCGACGTTGGTAGGTCTGACCAAGGAATGTATCAATACACTCCACCGGGAGAGAAAGCTTGTTGTCATCAAGCTTGAAGTGTGGGTAAATCTGAGTAAACTCGCTGCAGTCCTCCCAAGTAGCACCCTCAATCTGCGAGCCTTCCCATGCTACTAAAATCTGCTTCTTTCCTCGATTTAGACAACAACATAAGATGTCTTTTGGTTGAAGAAGAACATTACCGTCATGAAGGAGAGGTATGGCAACAATGTGTGATGGAGGTTTACGATTAAATTCTTTTCAATAGAGAGACGTGAAAAACATCATGTATACGACTGTTGGGAGGCAGTTCCAGTGAAAAACAGTGTTTTTGCATGCTTTCATGGGTAGTATCATGAATGTCTCTCAATACAGCTGGAATTAGAGCAGGGTTGGGGGGCAAAAAAAGTCAATTGTTGTAATGGACGAGCCCATCAGGAATAAGCCATTGTGACCCTTCCTCGCCCTTACGAATGTGTTCGATCAATTGTTGCCCTTCCGAGCTCGACTATCGTTCATCCCGGACAGCTTGAAGGAATGAAGAATGTCGGACTAACAAGGCTAGTAAGAACCCTTGTGCCTCACCGGGTTCATCTTCGTGTTGGCGTGATAGAGCATCTACTACCGTATCGAGTCCTGCAGACTAATTATTTTAACAATTTTGCTGTACCCATACTTACCCCATTTCCTACCCCATATAAATACCTCCTTTTTTACCAGCTCTTTTACCTTCTTTCCAAAAACCTTTCCCCCTCCCCCACTTTTCTTCTCCTTCCCTCTCTCTCCTCCATCTTTTCTTTTCACGCAGCCCCCCTCATCCCCTCCTCTTTCTTTTTCTTTTCTCCAAAACTTGATTTCTTCTCCATTTCAAGATCTCTTCCCATTAAGTCTTCTCATTTTTACAATCTTTTCTCCCTCCAAGCTTCTTCTCTTGCTTCTCTCCTCTTCTGCCTTTTTTTTTCATTTCAAATGGAAGAGCTACAATAATCGGACGAAGGGGAGAAGCTCGGTGACGTGGGGAGTTGTGTCTAAGGTAACCATCCCTTCTCAAATCATGAGTTACGTACTCTATTTACGATTTTTGTTCATGTGCGTTTTTTTTTTCCTTTTTTCGATTTTATGTATATTATGTATGATCTAAAAGTGAATAATTCATTATTTTGTTTCATTGTAATGATTTTGAGGTGTTACCTAATTAAAATTTTAGTGTAATTTCTCTATTTCATTTTATGCCCATAACATGTTCGTAGAAATTACTCAATGAAGTTTTTGTTGAAATTCAAGACTTTTTTTCCATTTTTTGTACCTCAATGTTTAATGAGTATTTTTATGGATTTCCAATTTAATATGATATAGTAATTTAATTGATGTTTTGGAAAAGAGTATGTTGTTTTTTTGTAATTTGTTTGTATTTTCTTTGGCGGACAGACAATTTAGAACTGCAGTGTCTGTCTAGCCTAAAGTGAACACGGTTTTGTCTTAAAGTCTGGGTCAATTAACTACTCTCTGTCTTATAGCCAGACAAATTTTGTCTGGTCCAGACATTAGTAGTCTGGGCCAATTAACTACGCTCTGTCTTACAGCCAGACAAATTTTGTCTGGGCCAGACATTAGTAGTCTGGGCCAATTGACTACTCTCTGTCTTACAGCCAGATAAATTTTGTCTGGGCCAGACATTAGTAGTCTGGGCCATTTAACTACTCTCTGTCTTACAGCCAGACAAATTTTGTCTGGGCCAGACATTAGTAGAGTGGGCCAATTAACTACTCTCTGTCTCACAGCCAGACAAAAGTTGGTTGTGCCAGACAACAGTTGTCTCTTCCAGACAAATTGATTATGCCTCACATATGCTATTTGTACCAAATATGTGTTCTGACTACGTGTTGTGTATTAATCGTAGGTATTCACTTCTAGATGACGAATGACTTCAAATGTAAGGCTGAAAAAGAGTTCCAAGCGGACGCTAATTCATTTACAAAAATTATACCAAGTGTGACTTCTTTTGCAATGGAGAAATAAATGCAAGGATGTTGAAGTATATAGTGTTGGGGGAATGTGTTTCACCTATCATAGTCTATTTAGACTTATTTAAATTACTTCTTTACTGGGGAACTCCGTACCAACATCGGGGACTTTAATACAACTATATTCTTCTTCTTCATATGTTACTCCAAACAAATATACATGTTCAAAACAATACAAAACATAACACATTATTTTGTCTGTCCACACAGACAATATTATACATGTTTGGTTTTCCCCAAATTCATATGTACAATAACAAATACAGTCATATCTCCGAACACTTATATAACCACATTAACAATTACTAAACTCATCAAAATGTACTATAAAATACAGTTTTACTAAACTCATCAAAACAACCCACAAAAATTCATTCCCACATTAATAACAATTCGTATGCTTTCTCCACCTTCTACAATCGCCACAAACGAACAACATATTGACATCTCTTGTTCCACATGTTTGCATACTCACAACCTAGAATCAACAACTTTCCCATTATCAGGTGTTCTGCAAAGGAAGCCACCATCACTCCACATTCTCCCGACCTGTAGACAGACAACTCAGAAGGAAGGCCATACATTTTATATCACATTATAGACAATTTGTTACTACATTGGTAGAGAAGTCAATTCGCACAACGTGCAAGACAATTCAAATGGGTTGCCAGATAACTAATTTTACCTGAAAGACAACTACAAAACTATTTTCAACAATTTAAAATAAATTGACGGACAACTCAAATGGAATGCCAGACAACTACTTTCACATGACAGACAACTACAAACCAATTTTAAACAATTGGATTTAACGTGCCAGAAAACTAATATGCCTTGCCAGACAACTACTTTCACATGACACACAACTACATGTCATCATTAAAGAATGGGACATCACTAAACTCTAGGTTGAGTGATATCACTAAACTTTAGCATTACTACTAAATGCTAATCTGCTATATGTGTGCATAAACTGTACAAGTGTATACACAAGTAATACTAATTCATTTTTATGTGAAAAAGATACCATCTTCTTTCCAATGACTATTTTTCTTGCAACATATTAGAAAAACTGACCCATAGGCCGTGGGATTGCCAATGAGATGAATGCCTCTCAATTAGAAAAATTGACCCATAGGCCTTTCAAAGTAAACTTCACAAACCAAACACTTACTCTTTTACAATGAAAGAACAGTATGTGTAGGGATATCTTCAGGGAAAAAAGAGTAAATAGAATATGAGCAAACAAAAAAAGGATACCTCTTTATGAATGCCAGATTGAATATCCTCCATCAATGTTCCAGTTTGCTTAGCTAGATCAGCTGATATGTGAACAAGCCTTTGCGGTTGCTTTTCCTTTACGGTCTTCAGAATCCATAATGACTTAAGCAAAAAGAGATATATTTTGCAGTCCATATTAAATGCATAAAATGGAACAGAAGGCACTTACAGTAACAATATTTGCAGAATGACCAAGATATTTCTGAATAAAATTTCCTTCACAGACTATGTGAGTGGCACCACAACCGACAAACCACTGATTTACCAAAGCAGCCCCTTGCGCAGAAGCAGCCTCGTGAGGGTCGGTTGAAACGAGAACAGGGTGACTGGGGTGTCAAATTTCCTTTTGGTCAGGTCTGTGACGCGAGGAGTGATGCCGGTGGCCAGAGATCGCAGGATTTGGGAAGGTCTGCGAGAGAGATGAGGGGTGAGGTCAGTGAAGGTTTTGATTTTTCGAAACTTCCTTTGAAGGGAATGAGTAGAAAAGCGGTAGATCTGGAAAGGGATTGAGAGGGAGAAATTTGGACGCACTTGAGGGATTGAGGGAGGCAGGTGGTAAATTTTTTGGAGGGGTATTTATATGGGGTACAAGTTGGGGTAGAGTTGGAGTACCTATAGCAAAATTGTTATTTTAATTATTTGTGACGTTAGAAGATCCGACCATGGAATGTATCAAGAACAATCTTCTGTTTTCTTCTTTCCATCAAGGTTCAAATAACTCAAACAACTCCAGCAGTTTTTCTTTTCTTTTATTTGAACTATAACATCATAAATAACATTACTTCTCTAAAAAGAATATTTATTCAAAGTTAGATTCTATGTTATCCATAAGGTACCATACATTTGTCCACGTGGATCAATCAGAATGTAGCAATTGAATTATTTAAATCTAAATTAAAAATGATAAAGTAATGTGGTCCAATCAAATAATTGATAGGTACGGTACCTGAGTTTTTAGAAAGGTACCGGAGTTGTCACCTTATTCAAATTGCTCCAGAATCACAAAACCTCTAGTATCCAACCAGTAATTCTCCGCTTTTTCTCACTTGAACAATGTATTCTGATTCTATTAAGTACGATAAAAGTTAAAAACTTTCCTTTACAGATTTAAAATTATTACAGTGGTTTACAACACATATTTATGACTCTTTAAATGTAGGATTGATAATATATTTAAGATTGTTACTTATTTTGAATTGTAAGGGAAGCCTGGTATAAAGTTTGAGACATATGCCTTGCCTTGTAAATGCAAAATGCCTCAAGGCTTAAAGTGCCTTTCTAAACATTGCTAACACCTACAAACCTTTTCTCTACAACCCACCACACCAAAAAAGAAGGGAAGAAACTGTGACAGCCCATGCAATGCCCATGTGTGAGTGTGAGTGTGTGTATCTTGCTACAATGACATGTGCATATGCACACTTCACAGAGGCAGCAAATTGCAGCCATACAATAAAGCAGTTGCAATCAAAACAGAACACTATTTAAAATAAATAAATAAAACTAAACATGGTCTAGTTCTGCCTTACTTCTACAGAGCTTAACTGATGCATTTGGACATTGTTTTTCTTAAACAAAAAATCCTAACTTTATAGTCATGATCAAGCTAAAAATCAACAATAAATCACAGTAGTATTAGGTTGAACCCCTGGCCTTTCTAACCCTTTTCCTGGCCGGTTATTTCACAGCAATCATGTTGTTGGAGGTCCAACTCTTCATCCTCCTCAACAATTATTACTCGTAACTGATTAAAGGGGCAGCCATGCCCTAGTGTAAATGGTTTCTTAGAAGGTTCACTAATTAAAACCGTCATTTCAATTGACTTCCTCACTAAAGCAAATTGTTGGGTGTGAAAAGGGAACTTAAGTATAGGGCGACTTACGATGTATAGGGTGTAAGTACGGATATCGTATCCACAAGGATGGAAACAGAGAATTAGGTATCAACTAAACTCAACGATTAAAAATAAATAAATAAATAAATAAATAACGATTGTGCGAGATGGATTTTGTAATTAAATGCGACGGAAAATCGGACTAAGTTAAAAGGCTCTTTCGAATTAATGATAGAAAGGGAACATGGATTGGTTATGGGGCAATCAAGCTTAATCAGATGAAAATTATTTATTGGGCAAAACAAGTGAATACTAAGTTCTTACCGCTCTCGCCACGTAGAGTACAACGATTTAGAAAACCAGGTTGGTCTCTCATACGACAGACGTCTAAATCATTGCCAAAACGAGCAAGCGTACGGCTCCCTAACCTTGCTAATCTATTAGCGGACGATTAAGTGTGTGTGAAAGTGTTCTAGAAAAATGTAGGTATCTCTTAAATTATTATGTGTGCAATTATGGTCGCAGC